ATATTCATTCCGGTTTTGGTCATCCTACACACACACACACACACACACAGACCGACATTGCCACGCTTCACCAAATGAGTAAAATAGGATTGAATCTTCCCCTAAAACAGTGCAGTATCCACTGCCACAACATGGCAATATACGCTGGCAAAGAACGAAAATGTGGCAAATGTATATTCCCATGTTCCAGTGACATATTCGTTCCCATTTGCATCTGACAGCTCCGTAGTCCATACTCACACAAGGATTTCTTTCCAATGCATATGTCCGCAGTTACGAGCATATTGACTTCTGGGACCTTTTGGGACATACTCACACTAGGACTTTGGGCAACTTAGGGCACATTCACACTCTGACTATCCTTATGATATACTGACATTGAGACCCTTTGGGACCACATTCACACTCTGACTATCCTTATGATATACTGGCACTGAGACCCTTTGGGACATACTCACACTGCGCCCCGCCTATCGTGGCATCGCCACAGTGCGCCTCTGACTTGTAATATTATATGCAATGTTGTTGTTGTAATTGCGACCTTGAGGTTCTAGCCTATTATCGGTAGATGTACGACCACCATCCACCATCCACCCTCTACCTATAGACGACCCCCTAGACCCCTCTTTCTAGTCACATTCGTTGTCGTTGTACTTATTTTGCGCGTTGCTAGTTGCTATTTGTACAATTGGTGCTTCGAGTCATGGAGGGGGGGGAGAATAGGAAACAATCGACCTCATGTCTGTACTTGTTTTGAGCGTTGCTAGTTGCTATTTGTACGATTGGTGCTTCGAGTCGTGGAAGAGGGGGGAAAACAGGACACAATCGACCTCATGCCCGAAGCACCTGTGATGCATATGCCATGGAGCAGATCCGCCTCCAATGTAGGTGTTGCCTAAATAACCGTTCCTATTGTTGTTGTCGTTGTTGCCATGGTTGTTGCAATTGTTGATGATATTGTTGTTGTCGAAGTAATTATCATTGCAATTGTTGTTGTTGTTGTCATAAAGGTTATTGTTGTTGGTGTTGATGATGACGATGATGATGATGTCCTTGTCATCGTCTCCACCTCGGTAGTAGTTGTAAATGATTCTTTGTTGTAAACATTGTTGCAGTCGTCGCCCTCATCCCTACTATCGTCGATAAGATGAGCGACCCTCGTTCTTCGGGCGAGACAAGAAGATGTTGCCGTTCTTCAAGCCCCCTCACCAATGAATCATCATCGCAGTCCTTGTGACAGGTAATGATCAGCGGATCATGATGCACCGCGGTAGTCTGGCGCAGACACTTGTTTACATTCACAACGAGCCTCTCCTGTGTACGCTCTTCCAACACAGCACGCAGGTCACAAACCTCCTTAAAACCCGCAAAACACCGTTTCATCAAAATGCTTGCACCCAATTGATGAGAGTGTCCAATCGCAGATCTGGCCCCTCCTCAAATTCCCAGATGATTTCCAAGATGGACTAAGTCATGTCCTCCAGACACTGCTCCAACACGGGCCCCACCGACATTTGGCCAGGCCTTGGTTGCCATGGGTAGGACATCCACCACAACATGCAATCGTTGCCGACCCACCTCCAAAGATGAAATCCACCGATCAGCTTCATGTGGTGGATCGCTTATCGACGCTATCTCTAGCCATGCTATGTGTCCACATGTGCCCAAAGTGCAAATAAGCAACTGCCTGTCGCCCAATAAAATGCCCCCTCAACAAAGAACGCACCGTCTGATTAACAAGCATGAACGCCTCATGCTGATGTACCGTCTCCCGTCATGCCAGATGGAAAAAATCACCATCGCCTAGGCAAAATGACCAGGCGGGCAACAGGATAACCACGGGCAGCTCTATGGCCACCAACGCCACAACTCAAATTTACGACGGGCCTCGCCGGTCGGTTCGCAGCGCACGTTAGCGCTCGCGCATTGGCGCGTCCTCCTCCTCCGAGGTGTTGTTGTTTTGATGGAGGTGATTGATTTTTTTTGCCTAGGGGTCATCCTAATATTCTCTGTATCGAAGTTGTTATTCACCACTTGAGATATATCCACAAGTGAGTCAAGATTATTATGGGAATTATTGAAGGTTATTTGTTATGATTATTGGTTATTGAGCTTCTATTATGACAGGTATGCTAAGAGTTCAAGCCATCATCTATAGTTGCACTTTTCTTGCAATTTCCTTTACTTGAAGATGTCTTGTTCATACAAAACTGCAAATCTTCTGGTTCCTAGGGGCAGCTTTTGGATTTGATCCTTGGTCAAAGAATAATGGGTGTCCTAGGTTGCCAGCCCTTTTGCAATGCATTTGATGTTTGCCCTGTCACAATGTGAATTGTTGTTATATGTTCTTCCTCTATTGCGTAGGAACTCAGCATAGTCTATCCGGTCAGGTCCAACATACATTCGTAAAAGTTTGCACAGTCTATTCATTTACTCAGTTTGACCATACCGAGTTTCGTGGGTTGTGACAACAAATGGCAAGGATGGATCAGCAATCTTGAGAACACGGTAATGGGCCAGCATATTTCTTGAACTTCTTGGATAACGAGTCACAATCTTTATCCCATAACCGCATGGTATTTTTCTTGAGTAATTTTCTTATAGGTGCCGCTATAATAAAAAAATCCTCACGACTTCTTACAATAACGAACAAGTCTGAGAAACGATCGCAACTCTTTGGTGTAGGCCAATCCTTGGTTGCAACAAGTTTTATTTCCTCACGCCTTCATTCACAATATGTCCAAGGTACAAAACTTTGGACTTTGCCAATGCCGACTTCTTGGAGTTAATCTTAAAATTTCCTTTCCCAAGTTGTTTTAGGACTATTCGTAGGTGTTCCTCATGCTCTTCTAGCGTTTTGCTAAAGACCATAATGTCATTGAGGTAGACTACCACAAATCCAATTAGCGCCATATGGGTAACCGATTTCGACAAACGAATAGGTAAAGGTGGGACCCATTGGAAAGAGGCGGGTATATCCACTTGTTTTGTGCACTTACGTGCCTTGCGCTCTTACAGGCCTTGTGCTTTCACATGCCTCGTCAACCCACATGTGATGGTTGAGCTTGTGTCACGTGCCTCGTCAACCAGTGTACTTTCATGAGCCTCGCTGACCCAGGTCCACTCACAACCCGTTAGAGAAGTCTCACAGAACTTTGGCAGAGCAAATCGAGGGGAAGTTCCTGGTCGGGCACAAATTTAAGTAATAGGAAGGTGAGTCGGATGCATATGACTAACTAGCGGAACTGCACAACTAATTGGGTATTTGACCTGTCAAAATGGTATGTGTACAATCTGAAATTCATTGGTGGCAGTATGAAATTGGTTTTCGGCATGACGAACGAGTACATAGGTTCGCCCAGAATCTCTTAAGCGGCTAATTTGTTGAATTTCTGGTTCAGAGTGCTCATCACCTGTCCTAACTCTCATCTACCTGCTGAAAGCGGTTCGCATCTGAGCTAATCGGAAATTCAACCTGCCGATATGGTTTGAAATATGACAAAGTGGAAATAGCTTTTGTCTAGATCAATTTATAATAACTTTATATGTTATCAAAATTAGCTAGCCAAAGGAGTAATAGCCTCTCCTCCACCTCAATCTCTCAGCCTCCTAAACACCCTAAACAATGAGCCCTGGCTCACCAAATCAACTCTCTCTCTCTCTCTCTCTCTCTCTCTCTCTCTCTCTCTCTCTCTCTCTCTCTCTCTCTCTCTCTCTCTCTCGCCATCTGAGTGTCCTCTGCCACAATCGCCACCAGTCTCTACATCTACACAACACTATTACGCTCCCGTTCCTCCACTAGTGCCGGTCTGCTCTATCTCGCAGCCTGGTGCCTCACAGATGAACTGAACTCGACCTACCTACTACTGGGCCAGCCTCTGCTATATGCTCTGGGGCAGGTCAGTCCACTACCTGGCCTATCTCCAAGGTGGTCCGATCAGATCAGGATCCGATGCCTGCGCGGAAGGCCATTTCTTGCTGCATCACCCAAGTCCGAAATCGAATGACCTGGGTCCCTACTCAGGCCCAGGCCGTCCACGGTTATCTCAGCAGCAGGGCTCAAAAAGAAAAATGGGCTCAGCATAAAGGACGGATACAGGCCCAGCCATAGAAGCTCGGCCAAAACATGACGCGTATCTGCCAGAACGAAACGAGCTGGCAGAAAAGAAATTGTACTGACACCAACAGAATGCACAGAGATAAAAAGCGAAGCGAAGTGAAAAAACAGAACTGAGAATAGACGGAATTGTCACAGCTCTGGTCTCAAATGCGATACTCAATGTGAATTGCAGAAATTAGTGAGCCATCAATACCTTGAACGTACGTGGCACCCAAAGCTTCTGCCGTGGGCACGCCCGCCTGAGCATCACTTTTGTTAAAAAAAAGGACAAACTACTGACACAACTTCCCTGTAACTCACTCTTCAAGGCCTGTAGGTCGCTGAAAATGATCTTGGAGAGATCTGGTCGGCCAAGGGCCTGCCCCGGAGTATGGGGCATCGCCACACCACTCTCAAGTTTGACGGATTCGAGAGTTGTCCCTTCGCCACAATCACTCTCAGACTTGAAGCGGAAAGAAGAAATTGAGATGTGTCAGATGTTGAATTTTGAGAGCACTCTCAAACTCCATACCAGCTGCTCATCTGCAACCTCCCCTTTTCAAGAGACCTCCGCCTCCCTCCCCACGGCATGCTCAAAATGCAAGAGTGGGCCGGAGGTTGGGACGGACAGACTCTTGTCCTGTCCTCGGGCCCAGTTGCCTTTTCACGACAGAGTTTCGAGAGTTACCTCATTCGCGAGTGCAGTGTGGCGACACGCCTCAAATTTCACCCTCTTAAACCACAGGTACACCCGAGGCTAAATGTACGAGCCAAAGTTTTGAATTTTGCCGAGCCTGAAAGCAACCGGTACCAGCTCTTGGAAAGTAGAGGTCGGCATCAGTTCCGGCCTTTTGCTCGGATTGAGTGGTGGACCTGCTGGACTGAAAGGAGGACGATGTTTTCACTCACTAGCCACCCAGACAAGCTCTGACGGCCTAGTCACAAGTCCTGAACACTATTGCCTTCATATTCATCCATGCATGGCCGTAATTGCAGCCAGATACATTCGGGAAAGAGCTAGCATGAGTGTGCGCCTCTCACGGGAAGTGATTCTTTTATTTGTTTTTTTTTTTTCAGAATGGCGATACTCTTTTGTTACTTTTTGAAAAACAAAGGGAAAAAAAAAGTGAAAGGGGCGCATGTTTGCCTTCAGCTTCATTCAGACGGCCCGTTATCACAACCAGATACATTCAGGAAAGAGCTAGACTGAGGGCATACTCACACTAGGACGTTTTACATATTTATGGACGTGATTGTGGTCAGATGCATCCAGGTCTGGCCGTAATCGCAGTCAGATGCGTTTTGAAAAGTGCAAGTGTGAGTATGCCCTGCGTGTGCCCTGGGAAGAAAGGGCCTGACACTCTGAATCACTTCCTCCCCACCTCTCACGGGAAGTGATTTCAGAATGACGATAGGTTTCTCTTTCTTTTTGAAAAACAATGGGCGAAAAAAAAAAAATGAAAGGACCCATGTTCGCCATCAGATTCATTCAGCCAGGGCCGTTATTGCAGCCAGATACATTCGGGAAAGTGGCAGTACTATTATGACCTTGCCAGAAACGGGCTGGAGGCGGGGAGGCAGGGAGTGTGTTCAGAAAAGACAAACACCTGTTTTTACAGAGAAAACAAAAAAAAAAGGAAAAAAAAAAAACGGGTAAATTCACGCCGCCACTTTTTCAGCTACGCTCTGGTTGTGATTGCGATCAGATTCATCCAGGCCTGCCCGTAACTGCAATGAAAGGTTTTCTTTTTTCCATCATGATCCCTGCCAACGAGGCAAGGCATTCTGCTATTTCTGCGGTCGTGCATGTTTCCACATGCACAGAATGAACCAGGAGCAACACCACGGTCCATTTGCCCTTTGTCGTTGGGCCCAGCGGCTTCTCCTCACGTTGCACTACCGGGCCTTCCCCGAGGCGCGGAATCTTCTTGTGGCCACAAGTTCATTTTTCCGCAAGGCTGGGGCCGTGTACCGGTGGTTTAAGAAAGCCTCACAACTCTCGATAAAATGTGTGTGGCGGGGCCCATGTTCAGGGACCTCAGTCCCGTGTGGGATTTCCCAGCATGCCACAGGGGCCATGCTAGTCTCCTCTGTTTCCTTTTTTTTTTTCACCCGAAGAGACCTCAATAGCAATCGGATAGGAGGCAACGTGTTGGTTTGCAGCATGCTTGCCACCGTCAGTGTAGCAGGATCACACGGTCGGGAAAATCTCAATACACTATTTGCACGAATTTGTTTGCAGAAAACGGTAACGGCCTTTTTCCCGACAGCAATCGATTGGAAGCCATCCTTGTCCTTTACAAAGTTGTATCCAACTTTCTTATGCCCAACCCCCTCTACCCTCAGGCTCAAGTATAAGAAACTATGACGGGCTAAAGCCCTTGGACCCTATAAATGTTGTATCCACCTTTCTTATGCCCAACCCCGCCCACAGTTGGGCTCAGGCATAATAGATTATGACAGGTGAAAACGAGTAGCGAACAGATGAAAAAGGGAAGTCTAACTGTCAGGGTCGCTGTCTCAAATTTCATAATGCGGCATTCGCACTGCAGAGATAGTGGATGTATGTGGCCTGTGATACACGACGTGTAGGGGAAATTCAGGTGTAATGAACTGCAAAATCACAGACTGAGAAGCCTGCTCTTCTCTGAGTTTTGCCACTTGTTTGAGTGACTTGCTCAGATTCGCGTATTCTGGTGACATTCGTAAGTTTGCGTGCGGGTGTGATTGCTGAGTTTCCGTGAGTGTGTGTGTGACCTGCTGAGGTACTTGTGGGCGGGGAAGGCCCACGGGCCTCGTACTTACCCGTGGCTGTGTTCTTGTGTGGGTGCAGCAGGGCAGTAGCGTAGGCAAGGCCGCGAAGGCCAAAAAGAGGGTAGGTAGGCAGAAGAAGACAAAAGGTTAGTACCTTGGGAGGCCAAAGTAGAATTTAGAGTCCAGTAGGCTTAGGGAAAAAGGTACCGGTCCAAGTAGCCTGAGTCAAGAGCCTGCAGGAGGAGATATCAGACTGCAATGATGTTTCCCTCCGAAAGTGGGAGGTACAGGGCGGACTTGGAGGCCGGGCGGCCCTGAAGCAACCATGCAATGAGGCCGTTCGCCAAGTATGTCAAACTTGGAGGCGAAGTGCTCCTCCTCATTTGCAGGAGTCCAGCTTGGAGGCACACTGCTGGAGCAGAGACCCAGCTGAGCAACAGTGAGTGAGAAAGATGCGGGTGTGTCCCTCCACCTCAGCTGCAGTGGAGCGGACCAAGGAGGATCCATCTACAACAGTCATGATCTGCATATAAGATCCTATCATAACCATGTCATCTGCCCACTTTCGCTGTAGCTCTCCCAAATGGATTCCCGCGGAGGTCCACCACTCTCAGAAGTGTACACCTACCGGACAGTCAATCCAGAGATACTTCAGATTCTCAACCACACAGTCCATACTCCACCCTCACCAAAAAGGGGTACCCCGCAGGCCCAGGCCGCAGTAGGCACTGCTGCATGCAACAGGCAGCTACATCAATCCTGCCAGTCGTGCGGCTAAATCAATTCTGACAGTCCTGCTATTGGCAGCAGCATCAACACTTTCCAGTAGGTTTTCAGTCTCGTCAAGAAGACTTCAGTCACAAAGTTCAGGCCAAAACCCTTTCGCTGCCAAGCCCTATATACTTCCCGGCAAATATCCACGCGGTTAAAAACAACAAAGAAAGATCCACTTGCAGTAGCAACATGGGATAGGCCATTTTCACCCCATGCTAAAACAACAAACGAAAGCTGCCTTCTCTAATCGGGTCCTTCCCAATACCAATATTTCCGGTCTAAAAGGAGATCGATGGATAACTTGGCACTTGAAAAGGCCAGGCACTCATCCAGTTCTTCTGAACCCACCACCCACCTGTATTGCACATACATATTGCAGTTGAGACAGATCGGGTATAATGGGGTCGCAACCGATCTCTGAACAAGTGGGGATCAACTCCATCATAATATGCCATACCCACCCACTCCTGTCCACTAAGTCATTTCCCAGTTTCCATTTTACAAATTTACAATTGATTATCCAATCTCCACAACCTGTCAGGTGTCAACTAGCCCACTCTCTTCGTCCACCTGCCGTCCACCTTCCGGCCACCTGTCGTCTACCTGCCACGAAGGAATCTCCTATCCCATTATATATCGACCCACGGATCTCCAGCAGCATTTGTCATTTTCTTAAATATCATTCCTTTTCTGTTTTTTTTTTCAAGAGGGTGCCCAGTGGCCAAGGCTTCGATTATGAATCATAAAATACAACAGATAATAGCGGGGGCCTTTCCTGGCTCTGGCTTATGCTGGAAAACAGGTGCAGCGTCCCCATTAACCAAGGGAAAAAAAATGATGCTAAAACA